GCAAGTGCCAGCAGGGGTGGAGATTTTAGTGATTTTTATCTGTACTGTCAGGAACTGGACTGCAAACACCAGCACATTTCAAATAGGTCAAAAAATGGCTGTCAGCTACTGGCTTTTGGTCACTGACACTCAGGGGAAAGTTTGAAACCAGAGACCTGAAGGGAAAAAGCTCTGAATCCCATTGCACTATCCCCCAAGACTTGGGGCCAGACTGACCTAGAAGTGAAAGATTCCAGAGTCCATTCTACAACCTCAGTGGAGCCATCCGTGACCAGGGCTGAATTGGAACTAGTGATCTAGAGGCAAACTGCCCCATGTCCCATCTCTATCCCATCCATTCCCTGTAACTCCATGAGTCATTACCTGGGAGGTCCATGTCTCTGATGGACACTCCGATGTTCACCAGGCTCTGTAGACCCTGACGATTGTGTTCCTCTTTGTGCAAGTAGAGCCGTGCTACATAGATAACTAGGTTCACATTAGGCTGTTCCTTCAGGAAACGCCTGATTGCCCTGCAGCAGTCCCCACAGGGACTCCAGGACATGTACCAGGTGATGGAGCAGTGGTCAGAAGGATCAGATCTTTGCTTTTTAAAGACATCTTCCAGGAAGTAGATTTCAGCATGCTCTATGAGGTTGTTATGGCAACAGTTCTTCCAGGCCCTTTTGCTACTGCTCCATTTTATTTCATAGAGCAGGTAAGTCTCATTGGGAAGGACACCTGGGTCATAATTCTCCATAAATGCCTCCAGGGAGATCTTCCCCCTGAAACATGAAAGAGATCCCAAGGAGTCACTGACTGCAGCTTTATTGCTAAGAGCTTGCCAATAAAAAAAAAAGTTAAAAATGAGAGCAATGGGGTAGAGGGAGAGATAGATGGAAAGGGGAACTCAAAGAAGGATAGAGGGAGACACAGAGAGAGCAATGGGGGAAAAGAGAGAGAGGCAGAGAAAAAGGAGAGTTAAATAAGGTATCACACTGATGAGAGGGGAGGGAGATTTGACTCTTTCCAGCTCCCTCTTTGCCTGTAATCTTGGGAGAATGTGGGTATGGTGCTTTCATTCTCACCCCTTCCTGATGCCTCTGGATACATGATCTGTGGGAAAGAGAATAGAGTCACCTGGTGCACAGAGAGAGACATAGGGAAGGCAGACAAACTGAGATCCCTCAATGCCTCCTCCCCAAGACCACATGGCCTACATTTGTTATTCTCAATGGACAATTCCTATTCAATATTGCTTAGGAAAGAAACTCCCTGGTAAAGTGCAGTGTCCTGAGGAGAGTGGGGATGAGAAAGGTTCATCCTGGCCCCAAATATGGCCATTAATGTAACCGTGTGTGTGGAATGCCCATTACTTGCTATGGAACAGTGAAATAATAATTATAATTATTATTAATTATTATTATATCTAATACATGTGCATAGCTCATTAAAATCAATCAGACTCAGGCCGTCTGTTCCCATTTACAAGTGTAAGATTCTACCAATATTTAATGAACTGCTATTTCCTTTCTTTTTATTTTAAATGTGGATTGTCCCATATATGTATTTGAATATAAAATTAATAATCATTATTAATTTAATTTTTTTAAATTGAGATTTTTCAAGATTTATATTTAGGTTATTTCTATTCTGGAAGAAAATAAAAGTCTCTTGTTATTTGCACTGAGAACCTGGAAAGCAAAACTAGATAAACATGGCTCAGGAACATTGAGAACAAACATTTAAAAATGTAGGAGACATTGAAAATGTTAATTTCCTCCTAATCATCGGGAGCTAACATTTCATAAAAAAACCCTCATGTCATTAAAATTCCTTGATCAGCAGTTTCTTTGTGCGCTGGTTTCATGACACTTTACATTTTCAACTCAAATCTGAGAGCCCACACAGGGGCCCACAGAGAATTTCAAAACATGCTCAGCCACACACAAACACATACTCAGCTAGGGCCTGATCCAAAGCCCAATGAAACTGTGAAAAGACTCTCCTTGACATCAATGGGTTTGGATCAGGCCCATAAGGTACACATATGAACAGAGACAGGAGTGGGGGTTTTGCACAATATCACTATTTAGTGACACTGGTGCAAGTTTTTTTAATATAGGTAAACCCATACAGACAGACACAAACACATACGTATAGATAGACACAAAAATCAGAACTGTTTGAGGAAAGATGGACCCAATAGGATGTACTAATTACAAAGAAAAACCATTGCTTTAACTCTGATAAAACCAGTATGTATATCTACTATAACTTAGAATCTAGACTGCCTCCGCTCTGCTGTATTCTCTCACCTTTTTGTCTCTGTAAGAAATACCTGTTTAGTACTGACGTAAGAAAACCATTTTACTGCCAGTGATTTTTGGCTGTCTTTACTGACAGGTTAGTAACTAAAAACACTATATGTTTATAAATACACTCAGAGAGCTAAACAAACCAGAAGTATCTATTAAATATACATATCTTATATACATAGATCAACAACAGCCATACAGATGCATGTACATATATATGCCCCTAATTTCATATAGGCATGAACACACATAAATGTACACATATACTGTATAGACATAGAAACACGAATGCCCAGATATATGTATATACTTGCAAACATGTACACAGACATATGCATTGCTGCACCATCTTTACCTCCATTCCAGCCAGCAGCCATGGCTTTCTCTCACTATAGCCGCTGAGACTATCTTGTGTTACTGGTGCACTTTGAGTTTCTATTCCTGAGAACAGGAACCTAAGAGATTAGAGAAACCAGCTGTACCCAGCCAGTGATTGGTGATTCAGCTCTGGGAGGTTCGGCTCTGAGTCATGTCGGGGATGGACCTCAGCACTGATGCAAAATTGTGCTTAATGAAATTATTTTAATGTATTCTTGTTGTGTTAGGTTGTTACAAACTTGGATGGTACATGGGACTTGGAGAATAATAGCTTCTCTGTTGTTCTATTAAAAGAAGTGTTCAGGATAATCCAAGAAACTCCTAGGAAATTCTTGCTTTCTCCCAGTAAGACACAGGCACAAAAAGCTGGAAGGGGTTGTCTCCCCTCGTAAAGGAATGTGCAGAAATTCTTTTTCTGGGCTGAGCCAGGAGCCTCTTCTTTTAACCCTTCTCCCTTTCTAGAGCAAAACGTCAGTTTTAAGCTCATACAAGGAATTCCAGCAGTATTCCTATCAAAAACCAATTACATGGTTAATAGGGTGACCAGACAGCAAATGTGAAAAATCAGGACATGGGGTGGAGGGTAATAGGATCCTATATAAGAAAAAGACCCAAAAATCGGGACTGTTCCTATAAAATCGGGACATCTGGTCACCCTAATGGTTAAACACTCTGAAGTCTTCGTGTCATTAAGAAGCTATGTGACTAAAACAGTGGAAGTCACGTTCCTGAATGGGCATCAAGAGACACAGTTATTAAGATGTGGACCCTCCATTTCTCTAGACTATAAAATGTAGTAATTTTGGAAATACATGTACTTGTTGCTCACTAACTTGAAACAGCCCTTTCAGCTCGCAGTGACAAATTGGAGTTACCACAGACACCCAGAGGTGTGGCAGAAATGGAAGGGAGATGGGCAATATTTAGAGCAGGGGATGAAATACATCCTTTGCCACAATACTGGGCATTGCTCCCTACGTGGTAAGGCAGTGTAGGCCCAGAACTGCCCTTGAAATTCTCCCCCACCCCCCAGAACACACAGAGAGGAGGCATCATGGAGGGCACTTGTGTAGACAGCACCCTGCAGAGGGCACTTGTCAGTTGGCCCAGGCAACTGGGCAGAGACTCTGTCATCTATAATTGGGACAGGGATCCTCCAGCAGCTTCTAGGGAGGTTTCTTTGAGTGACAGGATACTCATGGGTGGGAGAATAGAAAGAATTTACTTGAAACCTGTGGTTTGTTTTTTCAGGCCCAGCCTTCTTTCCTTTGACACTCTTCTCTGCGGATAATGTAGGATGACAATGGGTATGGGAGCAATATATAGGAGAAAACTCAGTCCCTTGTCCCTGACGCCAGTAGAGTCACTGGTCACTGATTCCTGGTCACTGGGCTACCAGAGGGAAACACTAGAAACACGTTTCCTAACAGCCCCACCTGGGTCTGAGTGATCTGTTTCCGCAGCTGATCTATAATACAGTCTGTGCCTGATGAGTTCATGACACGGTTGAACATTTCATGGAGTCTCTCCCCTAAATTGTCCCTGAGTTCTGAGTGACTCAGGTCCATGGCTGAGCTAGAAGAAACAGGCATTGTCCATTGGAGATATACTTGAATAGTGCGGTTAAGTGCTGAAAAATATGTAACCAACACCTACTGTACTGTACTATAGTTTTCATGTGCAGTTTCTGAAAATGAAACAGGCAGATGCTGTGTACTTTACTGATAGAAACTGTCAATGCCCCTCTGGCGGAGAGCAAGATCACAGTATCTATCTATCTAATCTATCATCACCATTGTATCTGTAGGTCTCTTTAAAAGCAATATTTAGGCCCTTGCTCTTTACGCTGATCATTGCATCGGTTATCACCATCTCTCTCACCATCTTATTTTGGGGGAAGATTAATGAGAAATTATTATAATGATTCGTTAATTATTAATTGTTATTACATTATTAATTATTACTAATATCATCATCATAGCACTTTAGTTGCCCCTAGTTTTAACGACGAAAGTGCCAGTGTAGACATAGCCTAAGACAGCACAGGTTTGTGTTGGTTGCCTCTGCTCTCTAGAAGCTCTCTGTGGTCTGCCACAAGGCTCCATCCTGTCACTCCTTCTGTCCAGCGTGAGGCTGTGAAAAGAGACGGTGAAATAGTTTGGATGACAGCATCAGTATGTGTCTGGAACTCATCATGATATTTCTTTTTAATCTCTCTTAGCTCAGGTGTCGCTACCTTCCTAGGTTGCTCTTCAACCCCTCCCTTTCCCCCGCCTCTCCTCAATTCTGCTCTCTCTCTTTGTTTTAAAAGTTAAAAGTTATAGTTTTTACAGAAACCTCCAAAAAATAAAGCAATTAAAAACAGAATAAAACAAGAAACAAAAAGAAAACAAGGTAAAAACTTTACTTTAAATAAATCCAGTAAATTAAGTATTTTAACGCTTCAGGAATGCAACAGCTGAAATTATTCCTAACTTTCTTGAAGATATGGTTGCCAAGCAACAGAAATGCACACTCTGCTTCTAATCCTAACCACTCCCTAATATTTGAAACATGGGCTTTTCTTATTTCCATATAGCAGAGTTTTAAAATAATGTTAAATATAAAGTAATGCAAAATTCCTTGTTACCAAATTAATACAATACATTTGGCAAATATTAATATATTTTTAACAATTTATGTAACAAGTTTTAAATAAGGTAATAATTTGTTTATTAAAATATAACCCTTTTTATTTTTTATTTTTATTTGCCTTATTTTGTATAGTTATGAATAAAATTCTGGCGCCATTTGTTGTTAATTGTAAGTTTGTCCTGTATGTCATGTGTGTTGTCTTGTGTTGCATGTTGTGTGTGTCACGTAACTATTTTTTATTATTTTTATTTTGTTGCAACAAAAGTCAATTTTATACCCTTTTAAAAATGTATGTATATGTGGTACCACACTATTTTAAAATCATGGTTGGGGTATAATCATGGTATTATTAGCACCAATTTTTTGTGCAAAGTTCAAAAAGGTTTCAGTTACAAATATATGTACATATATTTCTGCCTCAACAAATAATGCAATTGCAAACAAATAATATTCTCTTATCAATCACAGTTTTGTTTTGTTTTTTAAAAAAAATTTTATTTGTTATTAAAAAAAAATGTAAGGGGAAACCTCAACATTAAGGTAAAAGTAATATTAACAAAACGTTAATTTCTTGTTTGGGCTTTTTATAAACTTGTTTGCACTTTTAAATATAGTTATAAGAATATCATAACCAAAATGTTTTAAAATAACAATTTATGCATAAAGCTAACCAAACAATTTGAACAGGTTTCCACCTTTGGCTCCCAAACATAGCAAAGCATCATGAAAGTATACCCTCAAATACCATCAAAGTACTGTATTTAAAATTTATTTTGGTTTAATTTTATAGTTGGTTTAATTTTTTATGCTTTTCTTTTGTTATATGTTATGTTAATGGGAAGCAGTGGTTGTTAAAGTTGTGCTTCTAAACAGTTAACAAGAGTGAAATTTGTAACACAAGCAAATTAACTCTAAAAAGCTTGGTAAAAATTCTAACAACTCCTTTGCTGAAACAAATTGTTCAGCAAGGGAAAGCAATACACCTTCTCATGGAAGATTGTAAGCATTTATTTTAGCCGTTAAGCATTACATTTCGTATAAAAATATTAGTAATGCACTTCAAATGAAAATGAATGTCTATACAACAATTGTAAAAGTATAGCTTGTGTTATAAAAGGCTTGGTCCCTATTACATTGTTCTTATTACATTGTAAACAAACAAAGTTAAACTGTGTATTAAGTTTGGGTTACTGAAAACAAAAACAAAAAACAAACAAACAAAAACCCTTTATTATGTTAACTAACTAGCTGTTTAAGTTGCATCCCACAGACCAAAGACACCAGAAAATATCACACCCTGAAGACACCAGAAAATATCAGTATATAGCGAAGAAACCCCCAAGCATCAAGAAAAGAAAAATGAAGGGCTTTATAAATAAGAGACTGGTTAAATACACCTCTATTTACTATATATGGACAATTAAGTTAACAATCAGCTAAAAAACACTAGCTGGACCAGGATAAGCCATCATTTAATTTCAACTTGGTTACTATGTAAAAACAACTGTATTATTGCTGTGCTACTGTATTATTGTTGTACTGTTGTATTGTATTATTGCTGTACAACATTTACAATGTGCATAACCTTGCTAAACTGTTTAACCAACACATAGGTAAAAATTAACAAACAAATGGCAGCAAACAACGTAAAGGCAAGAAAAAAAAAAGTGGTAAACAAACAAAAAGTTACATAGTAACTACAAATTGGGTAAACACATTGCCTGTTAGTACCAGTCATAATTTGGGTCAGTGACACTGCATCCTAACTAAGGCACACGTTATTCAAAACAATCTTGTTCAGTGTCTGGGTACCAATACTAAATCCTGACACAGCAATATTTGATAAATTGGTTACTGTCCATTCAGTAGGTTATCTGGAAGAAAGCATCCATAAGAAACAACTGGATCTATGTCAACTACTGGTGTATCGCAGAGCCGTGCAACCAATGAAACAGAGAAGCTAGCCACTTCTATTTCCTGCGCAGTAAAGCTTACCAGAGGGTGACAACCAGCCATAAGGGTAACCTATAACATGAATGGACAGTACTTGTGTAGTAACTAATTACAATATATTTATATATAAAGGTCTCAGTGGTAGTGTCACTACTCCAAATTTCTGTTTTTCTTCTCATATACATAGCACTGTGGGACACACTATCACAATCCCTATCCCAGTATTTCAAAACACTCAGCCTACTGCTAATGATGAGACAGGTGATAACTGGAATTGCCCTAATAGGAGTGTGTTTCTATCTGTGTCACCAAAGTAAAAGGGCCAAAGTACAACACCAGACTGGAAAAACATGGTTATGCTTGGATATAAGGTGGTGTCATATGTACATATACATACTATACATCTATGCCC